GGGAAGGCAAGTCCCTGGCTTCCCTCATCTCCCTTCCCCGCCTTTAAAAAGTCTTTTTGAAGCAATAAGTCATTATTTAGTTGGAGCTTAATGAACTAAACTGGAGTGTTGTCCCAAAGAACCCCAGCGAGAGTGGTAGATAGTGGTGGGCGGTCTCTCATGAAGCCTAGAGACCTTTTTCTCTGAGCTGTTAAAGGGCTTAAACAGCCTTCCCTGAAGGCACCTGCTGGGACTGAATGGGGCAGTGCAGAAACTGCCCTTTCATTCAGAGCCCCTTGCCAGTTTGGCATTAGCTGACCTGTAGTTTTCAAAGTACAACTGTCAGGTTTTCCTAATATTTCCCAACTCCTCTCCCTGGGATAAGTCCAGGGGAAGGGGTGGCTGGGTGGAACAGACATTTAATGTGCCTCTTGATTCTTTCCAGCCAGCCTGCATTGAGCTGTCTGCCGCCTTGATGCTCAGCCCTTCCCCACAGGTACACATGCAATGTCAGGCTCACAGACGAAGCCGCAAATACAGGGCAGTGTGCTCTGGGCTTTTCGATATCCTGCTGATTCAGTATTCTAGGACTCTCTTCTGCCTTCCTTTTACCCTAGCTCCTCCTTCCCTTCCCCACAGACCTGGACCAGGAAGCCGCATCCATGAACGTGCCCTAGGGACCCTTAAGTTCAGCTTTATAGGTGGGAGGAGACGGGATTCCCGCCCACTCTAGGCTTTCCTTTTAGGGACTGCTTTGTGGTGAGATCCTACAAATGAGACCCATTCAACCTTAAGAAAACTAAAAATGAAAACTCTTAGAAAAATGTGGGTGTGTGAGTTGACAAAAGGGATGCCAAAGAAAATGGAAGTGAAGATGTCTTGCGCTCTGACCCTTCCTTTAATGACAGATTTCAAACCCCCAGCCTCTGCTTTCCACACTGAAAATTCCCCTAACTGGGGGCCAGTCTGATGTCAGCCCTGTCTGGCTTCATTTTCAGGCTGGTTGGGTAAGAACCCGAAGATGGCCCGATGACATTCCCTGAGGGCTGGTGGCAGACCTGGGAGACTGGCGGAGTTCATGGCTATAAGAGAGAAGGGTGCTTCCGTGCCCTTCCGTGGACACCCAGAAGTTATTGCAAGTCAGGGTCACAGGGCTGAAGTTGCAGCCTCTGGAGCCTCTGCTACCTGGGTTCGAATCCTGCCCTGACCACTTGCCTGCTCTATGACCCTTTGTTCTTCCATTTCTTTCTCTGCAAAATGGGTATTATCCTCCAAGGGGATGGTGAGGATTGAAGGAGAAAATAATTGAGGATTTAGCACAGAGCTTGACACCAAGAAATGTTTCATAAATGCTTGCTGCTCCCCTAATTTTTTATTTTTAAATTTTTTTATTTTTTTGTGGTATGCGGGCTTCTCACTGTTGCGGCCTCTCCCGCTGCAGAGCACAGGCTCCGGACACGCAGGCTCAGCGGCCATGGCTCACGGGCCCAGCCACTCCGCGGCATGTGGGATCCTCCCAGACCGGGGCACAAACCCGTGTCCCCTGCATCGGCAGGCGTACTCTCAACCACTGCACCACCAGGGAAGCCCTCCTCTAATTATTAATTATTATTATTATTATTAGAAGGTTGGAACGGAAGTAAAAGTTTCCCTTCCTCATGCTGATCCATAAGGCTGCCACCGAAAATTCGATAGAGGTGCGTCTCTGGCTAAGTGGACTGCTGGCTTTTTTTCTCTGTCCACAGTCTTCCAAATTGGCCATCAGTCTCCCAAACAGCCTAAATGAGGCAAAGCCTCCTCTCTCCTATTTGTATTATAAATCTCTTCCTTCCTTGCAGGGGAAGCAGAGTACATATTAAACTGCACTTAAGTTCGGCAGCGTTGCTCAGACTGGAGGGTGGGTGTGTCCCAGTGAGTAGAGATCATTCTTCTAAGCCGAGGACTTGGGGGGTTTTTGAGACACCATTTAGCTGCGTTGAGGGGTTATCAAACAGGCTATCAGGAAGTTGTTTTTCTTGTCAGCCAAATGAATTCCACCCTCCTGCGGAGGGTCCCGGCTAATTGGGAGGTGAGGCCATGAAGCCTGAGAAGGTTGGAGTGGTACAACTCTGAGCCCCTGGTGGCCGGAAGGCATCTTCCATCAGGGTTATGATAGGGAAGATGCATTTTAGAATATGCCTGCTGGAGCCATCTTGGATGCAGCGTGTCCCAAGAGAGCTGAGTCATCGTGGACTGAGCTCCCACTCCCATGTCTGGCCCTGAGTGCAGGCCCAGATGTTGACAGCTGCCTCTGGAGGGTGATGGGAGCCTGCTAATGCCAATATCCCCATCGCCTGCAGGCACTGCTCCCACCCTGGCTTCCTGGTGGGACTTTTCCATGGGACTTTTTCCATGAATCTGCCTTGTGATTCCGGGGCCTATTAAAATCCCCAAGCATTGCCCATGCCTTTTGCTTCCTCCATAGAAAGTGTGCCCATTCTTACAGAACCCCAGGAATAGAACCAGGGGAAGGAGAGAGGATAAACTGTATGGGGGAGGGAGTACCCACAGCATGGCCAGTCCCAATCCTAGTCCTAAGAGGCAAAAAGCCCAACTACATGGGGGAATACAACCTTCAAACTACCACTGACGTTCTGTTGGCAGGACCCTGAGTATTTGTGACCTGAGCTTCTGGAATAAGGGAATCGCGTTGTCTTTGTCCTGGTTGGGGGGTTCTGGCTGAGACACCTCTTGGCTGGCGCCAGAGTTGCCTCCTGTGCCTCTGTCAGCATTTTCCATTCTTCTGCCTAGTCGCACCTTTTCCTCCAGGCAAAGGTCTGGGGCCCGTGGCTCCTAACCTTCTCTTGACCCCAAACCCACTTATTCTAGAAGCAAGGCTTTGGAGTGCCTGCAAAGAATAAAGTGGTCTGAGGTAGCATCCCCTGAAGTTCTGCCCCATGGCCAACTTGATCCTTGGAAAAACTCCTCTCTCTGAATGCTTAACTAACATCCCCCCCATCCAGCCCTGACCCCAGGATCCCCAAAGGAGGCTGCCTTGGCAGATGACTATTTCTTGGTGGCAGACCTGCCAGACACTTAAGTCTAACTCTGCCATGGGGAAGTCTCTTCTTTGAAGACGATGCTCTCCTGACATGTGGGGGGAACACAGAGGCAGGAGGCAGGCTACCTCTAGGCAGACATCCTCTGAGATGGGAGAGACTATGCACAGAAATCTCTCTTAAGTGGATAGGACTGTGGGAGCAGAGCCCTTGTTCATGAGCCCATAGTTCATGCCTTTGCGAAAGGGAAATATCAGTTGACTGAGCAATGAACCTTGCAGAAAAGACTTAATGCGTTTTTCTTTGCAGTATACAGATGAGAACCTTGTGGATAAGCTCCCTTTCATCCACTGCATGAACTTTGCATCTAGACCTAGCTCTTTATTTCACACAGGCTGGAAAGCATCTAAAGAGGCCCTTCCCCGATTTAACCATTTCTGATCAAACGGTTGTTTCCAAGCAGGGGAAGTATAATACAGAGTTGCCCTGAATGCCTTTTTTCTCTCTCTTCATTCTTTACTATAAACATTGATAAGTATGGTTGTGTCACTCGGGGCAGGTGTCATTCTCCTGTGATTGGAATACGGGGATGACCAGCTGTGTCCCAAGTCTGGAGGGATACAGGGTTAGAACTGGAAGTGGAAACCTATCCACATCCCCTTCTTAGGTATCACCTTTGAGGCAAGGTGAACCTAATAACGGAGGTATAGGGTCAGCTCTCCAAATCAGAACATCATTAGCGTCTTGAAAAAGCATTTACCGAAACCCCATCCCATAGCACGTTAATCCAATGGTCTTTTTTTTTCTCCCCCCACCCCCCGCCCTGCAAAGGTGGTTATCTTCCCCTTTTATCCGAACCCTGGCTATCTGTTCTGTCTCCCACTCCCAAGCGCGGTGGAATCTTCCCAGAGTCTAATCTTTCTGTGGGATTCCAAATCATGGCCCCTTGGGCAGAGGTCTTGGCTTCTGTTGCTATTTCTTTAAATTTATCTCCAGCCGAATTCTGAATGTAAAGGTCAGCAGGCGAGGAAATGGCACTTCTAATAGAAAACAATGTGCACTTTCTAAATTTGAACCAAGCCGTTTCCGCTCTTTGATTTAAGTGACTTCCTGGGGTTCCGTGTCAGGCACTGCAGTTGAATCTCTGGCCGGATTCCAACTTAAAATTGCACTCTCTTGGTGAAATTAGAAACTGATCCAGGGTTGGCTTAGCTATTCTAGTAAATAGCATTTAGGCTGAATGTTCAGCTCAGCACTTGGCAATGGGTGATGTGAGTGCCCCTCGGGAGGATTTCCCATCCAAGTTGTCAGAGGTGCACCTACCCAGGGGTTATTAGCCACTAGATGTTGCTGCTCTCAGAAGTAGTGGTAATAAGTTAATATCCTGGATGTGCAGGCATCAGATACAGCTCTTCCTTCTCTTGTGATTATCTGAAATAAAGGCTTTTGTTTATCCAGCTGATAAACTACATGGGAGCATACAGGGACTGTCTGTCATGGTCACCACATCCTCAGCACGCAGCACAACGCTTGGTACTTATTACTCGTGCTTATTAGTGCTCAGGAAATCTAAACTGTTGCTCTCTGGGATGGTGATAAATTAGAGTATGTGCTGTGTGTCAGGCAAAATGCTAGGTCCTAGATATGCATTTTCTCATTTAGTCCTCACAAGAACCCATTTTACAGATGAAAATACTAAGGCATAGAGGTTAAAGAACCTCATTCACAGTAACACTGCTAGGCAGAGGTGAGAATTTGAACTTGGATCTGACTCCAGAGCCTGTGTTTATAACTGCTAAGCTGTATCTGTCTTAAATCAGGAGCATGATTCATGGGGGTTATAAGAATGAGCTCGGACGGCACAGGTTTGAGCCCTAGTTCTGCTACTGACGGTTTTCTGTGACTGTGGACAAGTTACTTTGAACATTAGTTTCCTGTAACTAGAAAAGGGATAATAATAGTAGTTACATTTTAGGTTTATTGTGAAGAGTCAATGACGTAATAAATATGGTGCTTAGAAGAGTCCCTGGCACATAGTAAGTACTGAATAAGTTATTTCTACCACTTACTATTGTTGTTGCTGTCATTATTAATCATCTAAGCCATAATGCTGGAGAGTCCACCAAAGGAATTCCAGTTCCCATTTCATTTGGGCTCCCAAGGACCTGACGGGGGTGGGGGGGGTGGGGGGTGTTAACAGACCACATACTGATGCCTGGAATCCATTCTCTCTTCCGCCCCCGACTCCAGGGCCCCTAGAAGCCTGCTTCTCTGCACAGCCCAGGACCTCTGGCCCCATGGAGCCCCCGATCCCACAGAGCGTCCCCTTGACTCCTAGCTCAGTCATGGTCCAGCCCCTTCTGGACAGCCGTATGGCCCACGGCCGGCTCCAGCACCCCCTCACCATTCTCCCCATCGACCAGATGAAGACCAGCCACGTGGAGAATGACTACATCGACAATCCTGGCCTGGCACCCCCCACCGGCCCCAAGCGGACCCGGGGTGCAGCCCCAGAGCTGGCCCTGACACCCGCCCGCTGTGACCAGGACATCACCCACCACTGGATCTCCTTCAGCGGGCGCCCCAGCTCTGTGAGCAGCAGCAGCAGTACGTCCTCTGACCAGCGCCTCTTAGACCACATGGCCCCCCCGCCCGTGGCTGACCAGGCCTCCCCGAGGGCCGTGCGCATCCAGCCCAAGGCCATCCACTGCAAGCCACTGGACCTCAAGGGCCCGGCCGTCCCCCCAGAGCTGGACAAGCACTTCTTGCTGTGCGAGGCCTGCGGGAAGTGTAAGTGCAAGGAGTGCGCGTCCCCCCGGACGTTGCCCTCCTGCTGGGTCTGCAACCAGGAGTGCCTGTGCTCCGCCCAGACGCTGGTCAACTATGGCACCTGCATGTGCCTGGTGCAGGGCGTCTTCTACCACTGCACCAACGAGGACGATGAGGGCTCCTGCGCCGACCACCCCTGCTCCTGCTCGCGCTCAAACTGCTGCGCCCGCTGGTCCTTCATGGGCGCCCTCTCCCTGGTGCTGCCCTGCCTGCTCTGCTACCTGCCCGCCACCGGCTGCGTGAAGCTGGCCCAGCGCGGCTATGACCGCCTGCGCCGCCCCGGATGCCGCTGCAAGCACACGAACAGCGTCATCTGCAAGGCAGCCACCGGGGACGCCAAGGCCAGCAGACCCGACAAGCCTTTCTGACACCTGGGGTCAAGTCCCGGCGCTTCCCCCTGGAAACTTGGTTCCCTTCTCACACCTGAGGGGGCTACCACAGCGAGGCCAGAGGTTTTAGCATCCTCAGGCTGACCCTGCCAGTCTGCCCACTCCCTACCCCCAGCTTCTGAAGAAACAGAGACCACAATCACCCGTGCTTCTCTTCCCCAAAAGGATGAAGAACTTTGGGTTGTCTTTTTTTCAGGGTCCTGGAACTTTGTGTGAAACAGATAGTGGCAGGGGCGTGGTGTGGTTTGGGGGCGATTTTTCTTTTTCAGAAGATGGAACACAGATGTGGACACATATCCGGAAGTTGCAGCTGCTTGAATGCCTTCCCAGCCCTCCTCCTCCCTCCCTCTCTCCCCGCTCTTTTGCATTCTCTCTGGCTGCCTGGGAGGAACCGGTAACTGAGCGGCCAGGGGACCTTGGAAGAAGACCCTTGGAGTTTTGCCGTCTATACCTTCTCCCAGCCTCTACCCCGGTTGGCCCCGACATCTTGGGGAAGGTGTAGACCCTGGCGATCCCTCTTGTACATACTTGGGAGCCCCCCTCGTTCCTCGCTCTGCCCGGAGCCACGGATGGATTTAGGAACCACTGCACAGTACCTTTCCTCCCTTCCAACTCCCTCACTAACTCTTGGGGGTGTTCCACTCATAACACGGTCCTTCGGCTCTTACTGGGTCACAGACTCACCCGCCCGCTACGTGTCCCAAGTTCTCTCTACCCAGATCTTTTCCAGAAACTTTATGGGTAGAGAAGGCGAGGGCGGCAAATTCGAGACCAAATAGCATTTTGCCAATGAGTCTGAGGCTGTGGTCTCTGGATCCAGTCATTATGTTTTTATAGAAGCATTAAACCAGATGCTATCGGTGTTTTAAGAAATAATAGTAAAACACTTGCTTCCTTTTGGGCCACCCCCAGGAAGGGCTGATTTCAAAATCTGGGGGGCGAGCAACCTCAAGGAACACAATCCCCTCCCCACCAAGAAGACGATTTTAACAGCAAAGAAGAGAGGCAGCACCTCCCATTGGCAGAGTGAGAGTTGAGGCGAGCTGGGTGTGGGTTTCTTCTCTTGATTCTGCTGCTTGCTGTCATAGCCTTTTGTGTACAGTGTCTGTATCTTTAATGTAAATAGACAGATGATGAAAAAAGAGTCTATTTTAGTGTTAGGAAGCCCTGGCGGGGGAGTCAGAAGAATGCGGGTGGGGGAAAGATTCTCCGGGGGCTTCTTGGGATTGAGCCCTGCTTCTGTGCATGGCTACATGAGCCCCTCCCAACAGCCCCCAAAGACGTAGCAACTCTTTCTCTCAAGGTGCTAAAGGACTCAGAAAGTGCAGCTCGTCCGGTGGGTAGGTACTTGTTGCATGCAAAAGCTGTAGTGTGTCCGGTCCTTCCTCCCTAGCTATTGTGCGGGGTTTTTGCTTAGTGTGGTATTTTGTGCCTCCCTCTCTTTCCCCCCATGAGAGAAAGTAGTCTGGGTCAGAAAAGCTACCCCAGGTGATATTGGAAGTGCACTAGGCACAGCGTTTGTAGCATTTCCAGTTTGTTCTGTAGGAACAGAACAGCCTCCAGGAAGGAGGCAAGGAGGCAGGTAGCTGCAATGGTCATGCACCCAGTGCTTCTCAAGGACTTTTTGTTTTTTTCCTTCTTGAAGACTAGTAGTAACATCTTATGATTTAGAATAAGTTAATTGTAACCGTAGGTATTTATTGACTGGTGGAAAGGAGGGGAGGGTCTTATTATTTTAGGCTTTATTTATATAACATATGCTGGCTTGTAAAAGGCAAATATGAAATACTGCATCTGCGTTTTCTAAGGCTGATTCCTGTAGCTACCTTTGCCACAGTCGTGATGGATGTATGGATGTACTTGCACAGATCAGAGGGAATGGTAGAAAAAACACATTCAGCCAACCACTTATCCTAATTGAATGTATCAGATGTGTACTGAAGGGACTGGAGATGTTTTCCTCAGAACAGGTGTGCAGAGGTTACCCCCAAAAAAGAGGGCACACGTCCTCTCTTGGTGAGACCTCAGAACTTTTCCCAAAGCCCCTCCCTCAAATGTCTCCATGGGAAACTTGACCCAGTGGCAAGTTGCACTTTGGTGATCTTTGGAGTTCTACACGCCCATTCTGTGGAGCATTGACTTACATAAGCTGTGCATACACACACACACACACACACACACACACAAACACACACACACACACACACACACACACACACACACACACACACACA